TTAATCGATTCGCTCACTCCGCCGGCCTTTTTCGCATCTCTGTGGCTCTCGGGGGCCCTGGGGGGCCGTTTTGGGGGCTCTTGGAAGCATCCAGGGAGTTTCTTGGGAGCCTCTTCGGGCTGTATTGGAGCCTCCTGGGGGTTTCTCGGGGCTTCTTGGGGGCTTTTGGGAGCCTCCTGGGGTTCTTTTGGGGCCGGGAGCTCGAAACCTCCGTTCGGGTTCCTTCTTTGGGCCTTCCTTGGGGCTGTCCTAGGGGCTCTTCGGCTGACATGGAGGCCAGGAGGAGGAGGAGGAGGACGAGGAGGAGGAGGCGGAGGGAGGAAGAGAAGGAGGAGGAGGAGGAGGAGGAGAAGAAGGGAGAGCATGAAGAGGAGGAGGGGGAGAGGAAGAGCAGCGTGTGGAGGAGAGGGGGTAAAAACAGGAGGAGGAGGAGGGGGAGGAGGAGGAGGAGGAGGAGGAGGAGGAGGAGGAGGAGGAGAAGGAGGAGGGGGGGGAGAAAGAGGAGGGGTGGCGTCGTCACGCGCAATCCTAGAGAAATGTTGGATACGACTGGCGGTTTCCGGCCAGGGGGCGGGACCAGACCTTGGAACTTGAGTTATTGAATCGTTTCGCTCACTCCGCCGGCCCATTTCGCATCTCGGTGGCTCTCGGGGGCTCGGGGGGCCAGTTTTGGGGCCCATAGGGGGCCTCCCAAAGGCTGCTTGGGAGTCTTTCGGGGCTTTATTGTGGCTTCTTGGAGGTCTCTCGGGGCCTCGCGGGGGCTTCTGGGAGCCTTCTGGGCGCCTTTTGGGGCCGAGAGCTGGAAACGTCCGTTCGGGTTTCTTCTTTGGGCTCTCCTTCGGGCTATCCTAGGGCCTCGTGGGCCGTCATGGAGGCCTTTTGGGCCGTCTTGGGGCCTTCGTGGGTTATTTTTGGGGCCCTCTTGGAAAACTCTCGGGCCGTTTTGGGGCGGGTTTGGGGGCCTCTCGGGCCGTCTTGGCGCGTCGGGGAGTTGAAAAGGCGAGAACGCCCAAATCCTGTTACAAACAATTGGAAATACATCATTTTTGCCTCTTGGGGCCCTCTGGGGAGGCTTCTTGGAGGCCTTTTGGGGCGTACAGCGGGCATCTTGGGTTGTCTTGAGGCTATCTTGGGCCGTTGTGAAGCGTTCTGAGCCTCAGGTTGTGGCGCCTGCAACTTATCTGGCGCCTGCTTGGGCCGCTCCTGGAGCGTTCCGAAGGCTCCCAGGGCCGCGCCCAGGATTTTGGCATCTTGTAAAGCCTGGTGGGTTAGATTGTATGTTACCCTATGGCTTGACGTGTTGATGCCAATGAATGTGCCAACCATGGGGTGCAGTGTCGGAGACTGGCTCCACAATCTCCGACCACATGGGAAAAACCTCATGGTGAATGCCTGCGCTGAAAGAAGTGCATGTTCAGTCATGGCTTGAGGCAGCGGTTGATCGGCTGTGCACACTGAGAGTTGCGATGCGTCTCCGGCAGGACCTTGCCGGGAGTTGCCCGGGGTACTTTTCGCCTGGAGACCCCCAGGAGCTGCCCCGCGCGTGCGAAATAGAAACACGGTTAAGATGTTACTGGAGGTCTTAGCACGCCTCTGGCCCGTTGGGCCGGCGAATTGGGCAAGCGGATCGCAACCGAGAATTTGTAGCCTCCGGCGGAGATCCCAGCGCCGAGGCTCGTTTGAATGCGGATCGCAATGAAGAAGTTGTAAAAACATTTGGTATTGGGTGGTAGGAGGGCCGCATTTTTTCAATACCTCGCCACGGTGATCGGGTGCTTGTTGGTTGACTTTATGTGTGTGTACGTCTTTATGCCTGTCTGTCAGTGTGTCTGGCTGTCTCCATGCGTGTGTTTGTTTGGCTCGACGGCACTCTGTCTGGCTGTCTCTATGCGTGTGTTTGTTTGTCTCGAAGACACCATTTGGGCTGAAGTGTCGTACGCCCTTCCGCCGAGCCCTAGGAGAAGTGGAAGCGCGCGATGATAGTGGAAACGATCTGGTGGCATTCGGCCAAACTCGCCACCGCGTTTGGGCTGTGGGTCGGAAGCCTTTTTGATGAAACTGTGAGTCTCTTGGGATCCCTGCCACTACGAGGGGGCTCTGGGGGGCATATGGGAGATTCGGCGAGAATGTCAACAGCAAAGAAAACACAATGGAAAATCAATGATTCTGGCTTCCTGGGTCTCTCTTCTGATGCCTCTTGGAGATGTCTTGGTGCGTCTTGGCGGCCTCTTGGGCTGTCTTGGGCGTTTGGGGGCGCTCTTTGGGCGTCTTTGGATTGTCTCGGGCCATCTTTTGTGTTTCTTAGGCAACTTTTGGGCAAGCAAACCGTCCCGGACGCTGATGCGTTTTCTCCCAGCCGCGCTTCGCCCGTCCGCTGGAAGAGAAATTATATCCATTACAATAGGCATCTCAGTGACACGAAGTTCTGCCTTTGACAGGGGACTCCGAAGGGGCATGGGAAGCGAGGGGCCGCTGAAGGGGATTCGGAAGAGCGACTTCCCGACGCTTTCAGGCTCGAGCGGGTTGTGGACTCCCGCGCTCCGCATCGGTGCCTTCCGGGGGGGCCTGCATCCGCATTCCTTTTCCATTCCCTCCGCATGGCAACCCGGGGCGCGTACGTTGACGAGGCGCTTCCGCCGGCAGCGCCCGATCGCTTACTGGTGCAGTACAGGGGGGCGCGCTGCGGGCAATGCGGCACCGACGGCATCGCACCGCCCTCCGCGCTCCCGAATCGCCGGCCCCGCCACCCATGGACAGGCCACGAGGTGGACATGAGGCGACTGCGTGATCGCCTGCAGGCGTCAGTGGCCACGCGCTCCAGCGGCACTCAGACCGTGGATGTCGCAGTGTTAGTGTGTCCGCGGTGCTTTTGCCGTCGCTACCCCATGTGGCTCGTGCCCGCACAGGGCGGTCGGGAGCGTTGGCTGCACACTGTACCAGCGGACTTGGACTATTGCTTTGTCTCGGCGGAGTTCGGTGTCGAGGTGTCCCTCTTGCGGTGGTTCGAGGCTCTCTGGGTGGCCGACGGAACCAGGTTCGAGAACTTCGCGGCGGCCTATGGGACATTCTTCGGGTGCCCGCGCACTGCGTTCCAGAAGAAGGACTTCCTGCACGCATACGTTCTCTGGAGCTCTCTATGCTGGACGGCGGAGGGAATTTTGCAGGAAAATCCCATGTGGCTGGATGCAGGTGCTGCTGGCGCAGCAGGAGGAGGACACGTGTGGGCCAGCGTTCCGTACTTCGACTGCCGCATCGGCAACCAGGGCGCTGACATCGAGGAGTTCTTGGGCCCGTTGCGGAAGTACTGGTACCCCGCCTTCAACGACCAGTGGGTGGCCAGGCATTCCGAGTATTGCACGTCCGACTGCACCAAGGTGATGCTGCTCGATGGGGGCGCCAAGAATTACCGAACCGGTTGCCCTGCGGAGATTGCCCCCCTCGATTACCACGGCGTGACGGTGCGGAGGATGTGCGGCAGGCCAGTGCAAGGCCCGTCCGGCTTCGCTGTTCACGGCCATGCGCCGTGCCCTCCGCCGCGCCAGTCTGGCGGCGGTCGCCGGGGCCAGCGGGAGTGTGCTACACTGAAAGAGCGGCATCATCCGACGGCTTCCAACCGGAGCTTTGGGTGCCTGTCCAGTGCTTTCCGATGCCGCACGTTCGGCCCTTTCTACGAGCTCGCTTACGCGGAGAGCTGCTCGCACGTGTACATGGCGGAGAACGAACTCAAGTCCCTCAACCCGGATTTCGCCATCAGCATCTACGACGACGGCTGCCACATGCGAGATTTCTGGCTGACCCGCCCGTCTCAGGTACACCCAGGGTGGATGCCCCGCCACTTCATTCCTCGCAGTCATTTGCGTGGCCACGTCCGTCTCTTTTGCCAGGAATATCTGTGCCCAGATTCTTGCTCGGACCTCTACAAGTACATGCTCAGGGATGTGCAGCTCTCAGCCCAAGACGCCGCCGCTCTGGGAGCCGCCCTTGATAGGAACGGCTGCCTCCGCAGAGGCATCGCGGTCGGCGGCGTTGACTTGCCCAGGAACGCGACGTTGCAGGCAGCGGGGGGCAAGCGCATGGACGCTCGCTGCCATCTCATGACAGCATTGAAGGAGGATCCCCTCCCTGTCTGGACCGCGTGGCAGCAAGGGGGCGCACGCGTGGTGCTCTCCGTGAACACTAACGCGCAGCGGACTGCGCTCTTGGCTCGCTCCGACCCGCTGCTGCGGCTGAAAGGCCCGCACCCAGTCCGACTTCGAGATGCCGAGGGGCAGGCCGCGTGGGCGCGGAAGGGCGCCGCGCTCGTAGCCGCGGGCGTCTTTCGCAGGGACGGGCGTGAGGCTGTGCGGCAGGCCTTGACCTCGCATGAGGCCGTGAGCGGCGTGACCGTGGTGAAGACGTCCAACGCTGAGGCTGTGGAGGAGAACTGGCGCTTCATCAACAGGCACAAGGCGACGCTGCGGCACGCGGGCGCAGAGATGTACTTCTATCTTCTGCACCGCATTGCCCACCTCCTCAACGTCCGCCGCTGGGCGGATTCCGAGGAATGAGTGGCGGGTCGGCTTTGCGCGCGCAGCGGGGGTGTTGCTTAGCGACCAGGCATGCGAGGTGCCCGCTCTTATTGTTTAGTTGAATACACCTGCCTAAAATATTTCGCATGGATTCGAGCTGCCTCAGCGCCGCGCTGGTGCCCGTGCCAGAGTGCCTCGGGGGGGGGGATCCGACGATGAGAAATTCTTGTCGGGCTCAGGGGCGTCATGGCTGGTCACCTGGGTTCGGGCGTGGTCGAGGTGTTTCGCAAGCTCCCCCGATGTGGCAGGAGGGGGGGGGCTGGGGGGTACCCGCCAGCGCGGCTGTTTCATTTCCAGGAGGATCGGTGGGCCGATCTGGGAGCAATCGCGTCACCGTAGCTTTCTGGCCTCCAGCTGGCAGGTGCTGACTTCACCGATTCCGCGCCCCGCGCTCGTCAGCAGAATTTTTGTTGTCCCTGCGGTTCTAGGGCCATGTCGACCGCTAAGAAACAGGTGATAAACAGGCACCTCGAGGCCGCCGTGAGATCCTTTCGGGCTGCATGGAACGACGACTTTATTCTGGGGGATGCGAAGGCTTACGTGTACAGCGTCGCCGTCCCCTACGTGATGCACCCGGCGGCGGCGCTCATGGGCTTGTAAAACCTCGGGTTCCTTGCCGCGAACGGCATCAAGGCGGGCGTGAGGTCGTCGGGGGCGAAGGTGACCAACTTCGGGTCCTTCTTCTACCACGGGAAGAAGACGGGGAAGTCCAATTACACGGACTCTGTCTTCCAGCACGGGGAGGAGTTGGAAGTGGACGTCAACGACGCGGCACGCAGGCTGATCCACAACCCGCCTGCTCAGGCGGACGCCGTGCCTTCGGACCCCCCCACCACCACGAACATCATATTCAAGAACGTGGGGCCCGAAGAGATGATGGCTCAAGCAGACCCGAATAAGTTTGGGCGCGGGTGGTGGTCCGCCATCCGGGCAGAGGCGGAGTTCGGGAGCCACTGCGAGCAAGTGAATCTTCTCGGCTCGGGCGGCGCCCAGAAAAAGTACGAGAACCAGGCGGGGTACAACGACCTATTCGACGACGGCATGGCCTCGAAGCTCTACCGCGACGCGTCGAAGAACTACGGGAAGGACGTGTTCGCTAACTGGAAGCGCCGGGCGCCTCGTGCATTGTCCAAGCGGCCGTTTCGCATTCTGACCCCCCCCCCTCTCCCCCCTCCCATGCGGCCACGCGCGCGGGGGCTGAGCGGATCAGCCGCGGGGGCATTGCAGGGCGGCGCCCGGTGAGGTTCTCCAACGGCAAGAAGTTCGCACCATGGGGTTCTACCACACTGGGCGCATGAACTTCCATGACGCGCACAAGCTCCTCTGCGAGGCCGAAGGACACCATTCCATGGCGTTGCTGGACCGGTATTGCGCCATGCCGCTGATCCCGGAGAATCCGTACGCGGACCCCCCGGACGGTTTCGATCCCCCGGAGGTTGTCAAGAAGGCAGACGGGGAGTTGCAGCGCGACGCGCACGGATTGTGGCGCAGGGACAAGCTGCCTGCCCCGAGGAAGGAAGTGCTTGACGGCATGAGGGCGGTCAAGGATTTCGTGGAGAGCAACCCCAACGCTGTGGCGCGCTTCACGCCCAAAGGTGCAGCTCTGTATCGCCTGGTGGACAGCGTTAACTGGAGCGCGGCCGACCGTCTTCAGTACGTGGATGAGGACAAAGCCGCCCGGCTTCGCCAGCTGCAGCGCTTCCTCTACGACTTCGCCATTGCCCAGCTGCTGCTTGAAGTCCAGAAGGCTGCCTCCGGTCCCGCGGGCCCAGCGGGCGACGCAGCCGACGCTGGCGCGGCGGCTGCTCCGGGCGCGGTTGCCACTCGCCCCACGGTGAAGGACACGTTCGTCGACGAGCAGCACGTTCAGCGCGCAGTTTGCCACTTGGCTGCGATCTGGGAGGGCCACGAGTCCTTCGTGAACCCGCGCCGCACCATGTATTTGGAAGAGAACGTGTGGCGCGGCACGTTGGTCGAGCAGCGAGAGGCGGCGGCGCGGGCCGCGGCGGATGAGGGCGCCGATGACGTGGAGGCCGAAGGCGTCGCGGGCGCCGAGAGCGGTCTCGAGTTGCCGGCGGGGTGGTCGCAGAATGCGTGGAACGGCACTCCGTATTATTACCCCGACGCCGACGAGCGCGCGTGGCAGTATGAGCACCCGTCCACCGTGCCGACCCCGCCTGTGCCGCGGATCCCGCAGGGCGTCGACGAGTACGTCTCTGTGGGGATAATTGACGCGGGCTTGAAGTCTCGCATGATCGCCGGAGTTGACGACGCGGAGGTTACGTGGGGCGGCGGCGACCTGATCGCGGCCGCCTGCAAGAACACGCTCCTGTGGAAATGCCCCACGGCAGAGAACCGCATCACCGGCAACGTGGTTTCCGCCGCCATCCGCGCGAGTCAGGTCGCTTGGCCGTCGTTGTCCTGGTGGAAGTCCGTCGTGGTCGAGGGCGAGCTCTTGCGTGCGGGGCTAGGCCGGAAGTCTGACCACAATGCCGGCGGGGGGTTCTGGGAGAAGCCCAAAGTCCCGATTGATGAAGAAGAACTCACTGCCTTCGTGGACCAGTTGGCGCAATGGGGAGTTGCCCTAGAGGATTACGAGCGTGCTTGGGTCACCGGCGCGGCTGCTTCCGGCGCGGCGCCCGCGCGCAGGCCGGCGCGCGCGCCTGCGCGCGCGGCGGCGCCAGGTGGCCGTGCGAGTGATTCGCCTGACCCGGGGGCGCGGCCGACCGCGCGCAGCAGCCCGTCGTCCAACGCGCGCAAGAAGCGACGCGGACCGGCGGGTGCTGCGCGCCCGAGTGCTGCCCCGGCGCCGCGCGCGCTGGCGTCGGACTTCCGTGGGCCGACGTAGGCGCGCAGCAGATGCGCCATGCGGTGTGAGACGGGCGAGCGGAGCGCCGAGGGCGCGGCGAGAGAGGATTATGGGGAGGCAGGGCCAGGGCCACGGCCACGAGGAAGGTGCGGGAAGCTTGCTCGCTCCGCTGCCTCAGGAGGGGTGTTTTTTTCATCGCGCCAGCACGCGCTCGCTTTAGTGGCGCCTCGAAGGAGAGGGGTGTGTTCTGCACTCGCAGTGAGGATATGCTTGATTGGTGAGGTTGGAAGTAATTTGGAGGGGTTGCGGTTCCGCTGCGACGCCGGATATTCATTATTAGAAGTTTTATGTGTGTGGGTTGAGACCAACCTACTTCATCTGGCTTCCCACATCATGTGTACACTAGCTCAGGACTCGTAGTGGGCATATGCTGACTTGTGATGTTGTAAAGGTGATGGGAGGGGTTGTACATTGCAATTGTTTTGAGGGGGTGGAGGTTCTGCTTCGACGTTGGACATTCATTTTCAGGTTTTCTAGGTGGATGGGCCGAGACCAACCTACTTCGTCTGCCTTCCTACTTCATGTGTACATTAGCTTCTAGTTCAGCAGTCGCAGTGAGCATATGTCTGAATTGTTGATTGTTGAGGCGCTCAGAGGGACTATACATTGCAATCGTTCCGGAAGGGTGGAGGCTCCGGCACGCTGCGTCGTCGGATATTCACGACGAGTTCTCGGGTGCCACCCACGCTCTACAGGCCGCCTGTATTCCAATATTCCAATGTATGTTCAGAAGAGTGAACCTCGAGAGGGCATTAAATGCTAGTTGATGCGCGTGCCATTCTGTTGTAAGTGTCAGGGGCTACATGCCTATGTTTTTCCGGGGATTCGCACAGTCGGCGTCTTCGTGCTGTAGTGGCATGGCGATTCCGTAACCATGATGGCTTTGGCTGTGCTTCTGGATGTGCTGCTTCCCCTTGCAGGGCGGTTCGCACGTCGTGGGGTTTCGTTCTCGCTGCGCCGCTCGTCGCCATGGCGCGACTTTGGCCTACTAGTACGACCGGCGGAGGGCCCCCCCGCTCGAGACATGCTCGAAAGTCCTCCCCGGCGGGGCTACCAGTAGGGACGAAGTAGCCCTACTAGTACGGGCCCCGGGGAGCTGGCGGGGGCGTACTAGTAGAGCTACTTTGGCCTACTAGTACGACCGGCGGAGAGGCCCCCCGCTCGAGACATCCTCGAAAGTCCGCCCCGCCGGGGCTATTAGTAGGGCTACTTTGGCGTACTAGTACGGGCCCCGGGGGGCTGGCGGGGGCGTACTAGTAGGGCTACTTTGGCCTACTAGTACAACCGGCGGAGAGGCTACCCGCTCGAGACATCCTCGAATGTCCGCCCCGGCGGGGCTACTAGTAGGGCTACTCTGGCGTACTCGTACGGCCCAGGAGAGCTGGTGGGGGCGTACTAGTAGGGCTACTTTGGCCTACTAGTACGACCGGCGGAGGGAGCCCCGGGGAGCTGGCGGGGGCGTACTAGTAGGGCTACTTTGGCCTACTAGTACGACCGGCGGAGAGGCGCCCCGCTCGAGACATCCTCGAATGTCCGCCCCGGCGGGGCTACTAGTAGGGCTACTCTGGCGTACTCGTACGGCCCAGGAGAGCTGGCGGGGGCGTACTAGTAGGGCTACTTTGGCCTACCAGTACGACCGGCGGAGAGGCGCCCCAGTCGAGACATCCTCGAATCTCCGCCCCGGCAGGGCTACTAGTAGGGCTACTTTGGCCTACTAGTACGGCTCCGGGGGACCGGCGGGGGCGTACTAGTAGGGCTACTTTGGCCTACTAGTACGACCGGCGGAGAGGCCCCCCGCTCGAGACATCCTCGAAAGTCCGCCCCGGCGGGGCTACTAGTACGGCCCCGAGGAGCTGGCGGCGGGGTACTAGTAGGGCTACTTTGGCCTACTAGTACGTCCGGCGGAGAGGCCCCCCGCTCGAGACATGCTCGAAAGTCCGCCCCGGCGAGGGCTACTAGAAGGGCTACTTTGGCCTACTAGTACGGCCCCGGGGGGTTGGCGGGGGCGTACTAGTAGAGCTACTTTGGCCTGCTTAGCCGTACTAGTACAACCCGCGGAGTCGTACTAGTAGGCGTACTTTTGCTCTACGGGTTCGCCTCCCGAGCGCCGCGGGTCGTACTAGTAGGCCTGCTTAGCCGTACTAGTACAACCCGCGGAGTCGTACTAGTAGGCGTACTTTGGCCCTACGGGTTCGCCTCCCGAACGCCGCGGGTCGTACTAGTAGGCCTGCTTAGCCGTACTAGTACAACCCGCGGAGTCGTACTAGTAGGTGTACTTTGGCCCTACGGGTTCGCCTCCCGAGCGCCGCGGGTAGTACTAGTAGGCGTACTTAGCCGTACTAGTACGACCCGCGGAGTCGTACTAGTAGGCGTACTTCGGCCCTACGGGTTCGCCTCCCGACCGCCGCGGGTAGTACTAGTAGGCGTACTCAGCCGTACTAGTACGACCCGCGGAGTCGTACTAGTAGGCGTACTTCGGCCCTACGGGTTCGCCTCCCGACCGCAGCGGGTCGTACTAGTAGGCGTACTTAGCCGTACTAGTACGACCCGCGGCGTCGTACTAGTAGGCGTACTTCGGCCCTACGAGTACGCCTCCCGACCGCAGCGGGTCGTGCTAGTAGGCGTACTTAGCCGTACTATTACGACCCGCGGAGTCGTACTAGTAGGCGTACTTCGGCCCTACGAGTACGTTTCCCGACCGCAGCGGGTCGTACTAGTAGGCGTACTTAGCCGTACTAGTACGACCCGCCGGGTCGTACTAGTAGGCGTACTTCGGCCCTACGAGTACGCCTCCCGACCGCAGCGGGTCGTACTAGTAGGCGTACTTAGCCGTAGTAGTACGACCCGCCGGGGCGTACTAGTAGGCGTACTTCGGCCCTACGAGTACGCCTCCCGACCGCAGCGGTCGTACTAGTAGGCGTACTTAGCCGTACTAGTACGACCCGCCGGGTCGTACTAGTAGGCGTACTTCGGCCCTACGAGTACGCCTCCCGACCGCAGCGGGTCGTACTAATAGGCGTACTTAGCCGTACTAGTACGACCCGCTGGGGCGTACTAGTAGGCGTACTTCGGCGTACTAGTACGACTCGCCGGGGCGTACTAGTAGGCGTACTTCGGCCCTACGAGTACGCCTCCCGACCGCAGCGGGTCGTACTAGTAGGCGTACTTAGCCGTACTAGTACGACCCGCCGGGTCGTACTAGTAGGCGTACTTCGGCCCTACGAGTACGCCTCCCGACCGCAGCGGGTCGTACTAATAGGCGTACTTAGCCGTACTAGTACGACCTGCCGGGGCGTACTAGTAGGCGTACTTCGGCGTACTAGTACGACTCGCCGGGTCGTACTAGTAGGCGTACTTCGGCGTACTAGTACGGCCAACCGGGAAAACCAAGCACTCTCTCCCTCCTATAGGTACTCGTGAATTCCCCTCTAGCTCCTCCTCTCCTCTTCCGTTCCCCTCCGAGCACTCCTGCTTCATCCTCTTTCCTCGATCCGTGTCCCCGCCACGTGGAGCAGCTGAGATTCCGACATGTCGTCGGACACGAACAGCTCCGACCACAGCTGGCCCAGCGCGCCAGCGTCGCACATGCTTCGCTGGCGCAGGGGTGGTCTCTTGTCCGACATCGGGCCCTTTGGCCTGAATCCCCTCGAGAAATCCCTCGGGCCAAACGCCCTGCGACGACAAAGAACGAGGAGGAGGGGGAGAAGAGGGGAAGGTCATATGAGTGGTGGTGATGATGATCATGATGATGATGAGCGCGCAGGGGCTGGTCCAGCGCAAGGGTCCCGTTTCTTTTCTTACGTGCCCCCACCCCCACAGATCTCGCCCAAACCTCAACAAGCAGGCAGCGCTAAACAATCTCATCAACACAAACAACAACTCGTCAACAATAGTACGTCAATCGTGGTTTTGTACAGCGAACGACTAGTATTACATGTTTTGGGTTTGCAGATGTCAAAACATCATGTCATCTGCAGCATCGGGCACAAAATTTTGGGAACATAATGATGCTCCCAAAATTTGTTCCTTTCAGACCTCAGGGGAGAGGACTTTTCTCCTCCGGATTGCCCCCGTCTCCCCCCCGGGGCCGTCCACGCGGCAATCAACGCCCGAGCTCGGGTTCCGCGTGGAGTACAGGGCCAGCTGCGACGGCGGCGAGCAGGAGCGAGACGCGGCCGCCCGCCTCGTGCGCGAGGTGTTCCCCGGCGCCGAGGCGGAGATCCCGCCACAACCGGCTGCGCGCATCAGTACGATCGGGATGTGTACGGAAAAGATGGGGACGAAGATGAACAGCAGTTCTTGTTTGGGGCAGCCTGGGGGTCTGAGGTGGCCCAGCATTGGTTCAGATTTCGAGCGGATTTACCCGTGTATCCCTCATTTTGATTGATTTTCCCGGCGCCCATCCCAGTACGGACCCACCAGCCGCCTCCAATACTGTCAGCAGTTCCTGCCCAGTGTGAGCGGGGCCCGCTGTCAGTGGCGCCGCGGTCGTTCCCCAGTTGAGACAGAACACCGCCTGCCCAACAACAGCGGCAGCTGTCTGTATTGAGCAGCATTTACTATTAAGCATCATGCAACTTTTTATCCGTGCCCATCTCGGGCGTTCAAAGCGTAAGGAGTGGCCCTTTGTTGGAGTGACGTTTGGGGTGTGGGCCCAAGGGGGGTCCCCCCTGGCACTGGCCTCGGAGCTCGAACTTGACCCCCTCGCGCCCCCCTGAAGCCGCGCACCAGGGGTCGCCCTTGCCCGGGGATTCTCTTGTGTGTAGCCGCTGGGGGGGGGGGGGGCCTGCGGCCCTTACCCCAATGGCAATGGAGGGGGGCATTTCGGCCCGGACGAGAGGGGGGGGATAGGAAACGAGGGGGGGGGGCACGACATCTGCTGCATGCAGCTGGTTCCGGCCCCGCCGCCGGCCCAGTCCTCGATACGTGGGCGCCTCCCGGCGCCATAAGGCGCCAGGAAGACCAGCTCCGTGAGCGGATCCTCTGCCCCATCTTTTGCTGACCTGCCCTCTCGCTCCCCCCGAGCATCCGCCGCGATACGCCTCTCGATGGCCCTCAGATGCGACGGGGCCCCTCCCAGCGCGGCGAAGAACACCGGGGAGACCAAGAAGGTACCGATATTGCTACTCCCCGGACCTCTCCCGGGGTGCGTTCTGACCCGGACTTCGGGGCGAGTCCGGCGGTGGCGACGAGCGCCTCCCAGGAGGCCCAGAGAGGGGAAGTCGAGCGAAGGGGAGAGGTAGGGGCACCTCGTGTTCATCCGAGACACGGTTCCTTTGGTCGCTTGCAGCTGGTCTGCAAAGGTGGAGACCGAGTGCATCGGGGGAGGCATCGGCCAATTCGGGGAGGCCCCCCCTTCTCGTGCTCCTGGTTCACCCGCAGGGGTCGCAACGGGTGTGCAGTGGAGGAGATGGGGGCCCTTCGGGAAGCGGGGCCCGAGATTTCTCGCCGCCTCTGGTCTCTCTGGGCCCTCCACGGTCCCCGCGGCGAAAGTGAGCATGGACGGAAGAGCAAGAAGAGGGGGCAGACGACGACGACGACGACGACGACGACGACGACGGCGACGGCGACGGCGACGGCGACGGCGACGACGTCGAGTACGACGACGACGCCGACGGCGACGAGTGAACATGAGGGCGCAGGAGCAGGAGCGGGAGGGCAAGTAGGAGCGGGAGCAAGAGGAGGACCAGGAGGCGGGAGCAAGCGGGACCAGAATGGGCGAAGAGGAGCAAGCACGAGGAGGAGGGAGCGGCAGCATGCCTCACGAGCACGAAGGAGGGCGTCCCTGTGATTGTCCATCTTCGCCAAGCGCGGGGGCCGCTCGGAGAAGGTGATCGAGGTCGACCAGAAGGACCTGTACAGGAAGTACAGGTGGCCCGCGTCTGGCGAGGTGCTGGACGCGCTGCGCAGCCTCAAGCAGTGAGCCTGCACGCGCCAGCCGCCCGAGCGTCAGTTGCACCGCAACGGGTGCTCGCCGGCGGGTGATCTGGAAGCCCGTCGAAAGTCGCCCCGGGTTATGATGTGCCAACTCCGTTAGCCTGAGTCACCCGAAAGAGTTTCGAGCACCAAGAAAGTACCGAAACACGAGGGCCTTCACGTGTCGGGCCCTGGGAGGCATTCGTTCGACACTGGTTCGACACTGTCTCGACACTTTTCCAGGTGCTCGAGATTATTTCTGGGATGTGGTCCTTCAGCACGATGGGAGCAGCACGAGCCTAGGGCCCCTGTCGGCATTGCAGCCTTGCCCGCCTCGGGAAGGGCTGGGAGCGCCGGGTCGCTGGCCGACGTGCCCGTCGTCGGAGTCCCTGCCACGGGGGGCGCGGAGAGCGGTCCGAAGGCCCGAGCGCCAGCGGGATGGAGGATCCTCGGAGAGCGAGCGCGTGCGGCAGGCCCGCGCCGCCTGGACGCGGCGGCGGCGCGGGCGCTCGGTGGCCGAGCCGCCTCCAGGAGCTCGCTTCGGTTCCCCGGGCCTACAGTCGATCAGGAGGGGGAAAAACCACACAGACACCAGTAATGGTCGAGTCCCCCGAAAATATAGGAAAATGTGGGAAGTGGGGGGGGAAGACCCAAACCCAGAAAATGTGGGGAAATATGGGGGATCCCGTCATTTGTGTGTATTTATTTGTGTGTCCCAGGGCCCCTTCAGTCGAGAGGGTACCCGCGGCGCAGGATCCATGCGGCCGATCTCTGGTCGACGGCCCGCCCAGGGGCCAGAAGGCCGGCCCGCGTCCTCGCGAGCTCCCGCCGGGGCTCGGCAGCACGTGCAGCACGGCTTCGCGGGCGACCCAGTCTTCGTCGGAGGATTTTGCGCCGCGCGCGGGATTGTCCACGTTTCCTCGTTCCACCACAGCTCCCACTGCGCAGATGCCTCCATTTACCATTCTCTCTCCCACTCCCCCACTCCCACCTCGCTTCCTCCCTCCTCGCCCTTCATCTCGAAGGGAAAATGCACCGATGCGAAGTAGGGAATGATAAAGGAAATGGGGGATGAAGAAGGCTGGAGGTAGTAGAGAGGTACAGAGGGCGCTGAGGGGCAAGCCAGAAACCCTCGCGCCACATTTGCCCCTCCCAGCGCTGGCCAGCGGAGCGGAAGAGAGGGTTGAGAGAGAGGGAAAGGCAAGCCAGGCGCAGTCGCGCCAATTCTGACATCCTACCCCTCCCACCTATCCATTCCCATTGCGCTGCATTCTTTGTATCCGCCTGCTAAGGTGTAGGACTTTGATCCGCCACATGACCTCGCCGTGTGAGAGGAGGGTGGGTGGATGCACACTGGTCGAGGAGGAGGTTGCGCATGAGCAGGGTGACGAGCAGGAGGAAGAGGATGAGGACGAGGAGCGAGGAACGAACAGGAACATCTGCAGCAGAAGGAGAACTAAGAGAGGAGTAAGGGCCGGAGGACCAAGGGAAGGCGCAGGAGGGGAAAGGAGGGGGCGGCAGAGCCGACGAGGAAGGAGCTGGGTCCAAAAACGTGGCCCGCGCTTGGACGACAGCGCCATTCCGAACGACTGGAGCAGAGCGCCCTTCCCGAAATGTGGCCACGGCTGCAACGGGAATCTAACGTGTGAGTGAACCACGACGTTCCGATCGAAATTCGTGGGACCCTCCGAATCCATGAAATCTTGTGCGTGAGCAGCCAGACGCGGGAGAGACGGCGGCAGCTCCGGACACTAGCAAGGGAGAGCGAAGGGTAGTATGCAGATTGGTCTTTCGTAAAACGGAGGGAGAAATGGGAGAGCAGCGGGGAAGGCGAGGAGGCGGGGATGGGGGAGAGGGGAGGTGGGCCACCGAGGGGCAGCGGGAAGGACGAGAAGGCGGAGAAAGTCGAGGGACGAGAGAGGCCACCGGTGGGCCCGAAGGTCCTCGACAAGGACGAGTCGATGACAGGCGGGCTCCAGCCCCCCTCCCGACAACCCTCGCGCTGGTGAGACAACGCAGCGCGCGAGGCCGAGGAGGAACCAGGAAGACCCAGGACTGAGATTCGGCGGCGAGCGAGGGGGGGAAGTGAGAAGGAGAAGGCCTTCTCAGAAGGCGGCGGGACTTCTCAGAAGCCCTCGCTCCTTCTGAGACGTTTTTTCTGTCTTCGGGGAAGGCTTACAACTCTTCTCAGAAGGCCGGGGGACTTCCGAGCCTTTTTAGAAGGCCCGCCCCTTCTCACTTCCCCCCGGGCGCGCCGCCGAGAGTTAAGGACATGTTCGATCGTTCTTGAGCGGCCGCGGCGCGCGATACATCCTCCAGGTCACCCACGCGGGCGCGAAGATGATCGTGCTTCGCGCGTCGCGGTCTGCGCCATGACTTGCGAATCCTCATCTTGGACGCCCCCCTCTTTGGACACCCCCGAACTCACGCCCTCGTGCGTCGGCGTCGTTGTCGGCGGCATCGGTGTCCTCGTTCGCAGCCAACGTTCCGACCCCAATCCCCGAGTCCCCCTTCAAAAGACTGGCCGCTCAGGAGTGAGGGGACCACTCGAGTGTACAACCCCGGGGGACTGCTCGGGCGCACCCCCATCGAGGATGTCGGGGGCGGAAAAGAGGGGGGCGATGACTATGGGGGGGTGGATATCATGGCGGGGGCCATGATATTTCCCAAATTTCATGGCGCCTCTTCTCATTTCATTACGTCCCTGGCCCCCCCCCCCCTGGGCCGCGCACATGCCGCCGGCCATGATTTGCACCCCCCCCTCTTGGACGCCCCCCTCTTGGCCGCCCCCGAGGATGGGCGCCCCCCATCGCATGCCTCCCCGGGCTGGGCCCCACTGGTGGCTTGGCTGCCCACCCCGCGTCGAGGCTCCGAGCCGCAGGGCCCCCCCCGTCGGCCGCCGCCCGCCGCGGGGCGCCCCGCAGTGCAGAAGCACGAGCTCTTCAAGGCCTGCCGGCAGCTGGACTACCACGGCGACGCCCGCGCCCCGGAGGGGCACCCTCGGCGGCCGCCGCCTCGCGCCGCGTGCCAGGCCTCCCGTCGCCGATCGCCGCCCTCGTCGATCGTCGATCGTCTCGATCGCCGCCGTCGTCGTCGCAGGCCGATCGCCGATCCTCGACGTCGAGCGGCGATCCACGAGGCCCGAAGCTGCTTTGCGATGCTCTTGGACTTCTCTGGGCCCTCCGCTTGCGCCCTCGCCGCCGCGGCCGAATCCGCGCCACAGCGCCGCCGTCGATCGTCGATCGTCGTGGCCCTCGTTGCCGATCGTCCTTCGTCGGTCAGTGGCGTCGTTCGCGGGTCCGCTTTTTGGGGAGACCTCGAAAACGCTGGGTTGACGGTGTGGCCAACTGCATACGTGCTGTTGGATATGACACCCTTGACGGGGACTGAATTACCCATGCTTGCAACGCAGAGGTGTGGACAAGCCTGGAGGAAAGCTTCGTGAACGAGTACATCTGAGGCACTGCGGCATCTTTCACCCACGCCCCGCGCACAGGCCTGGCGCTGCCCGACATTGGCTGTCTGCCTGTCTGTCTGCCTGTCTGCCTGTCTGTCTGTCTGCCTGCCTGCCTGCCTATCTGCCTGTCTGTCTGCCTGTCCGGCTGTCTGCCTGTCTCCCTGTCTGCCTGCCTGTCTGCCTGCCTTCTTGCCTGTCTGCCTGCCTTCTTGCCTGTCTGCCTGTCTGCCTGTCTGTTTGTCTGTCTGCCTGTCTGTCTGTTGGTCTGCTGGTCCCCTCTGTCGAAGAAGGAGAATAAACATGAACGTAAACTGTCGGCGCTCCGCGCAGATTTCTCGGATCTGCGCTGGACCCCCCTGGCGGCGCCGCAGGCGCCGCCCCTGGCGCGCTCAGGGAGGGGGGCCCAGCGCAAATCCAAGAAATCCGCGCGGACCGTCGAATTTTCCCTCTTCCCAGTCTTTGAGAACTTGTCCGAAGCCTTCCCCGAAGACAGAAAGCCGCTCAGAAGGCGCGAGGGCTTCTGAGAAGCCCCCGCCGCCTTCGAGAAGGCCTTCTCCTTCTCGCTTCCCCCCCTCGCTCACCGCCGACGCACTCACCGCAGGTGCGCCGCGGGGTGGGGTCGGAAACCACGCGCGGCCCTGGTTGATCCGAGCGGGCGGGGGCCGCGCGCGCGCACGAGTCCCAGCCTGCCGCGCGAGGTGACGGTGCTGGCCCTCGCGCGGCGCCTCCTACACCGTCCACACCGACGTCGCCCCCCCTCACTTCTCCTCCCTTCCGTTCCTTCCCCCTCTCCCTCCTTTCAGAGGAGGAAGCAGTACCCATACCGTTGCCTCGTTTCCCCCCTTTGAGCCTGCTGGGGGGCCCTCGTCGCCACCGCTGGATTCGCTTCAAGCTCCTGGTCAGGACGCAGCCCGGGAGTGGCCCGAGAGAGCAGCAGTACCGGCACTTCCCCCGTCAAGCGCCAGATTGTTTCGCGCCGTCCCCTTCATGGGGTTCTCCACGCTGCGAGGCCTCCCTCCTCGCATGCCCCTGGGTCTTGTTGCCTGGCTGCTTCTGGTACTGGGTCCCACCCACACGATCATCTATATCGAATGGCCTTCGTCCCATCCCGCCACCGTGCTCAGGTTGGTGGGTATGAAGCCTATTGGGTGTTCGCTGGGATCTCGTGGGAGGCTTCTCGGAGGCCTCTTGGAGGCATTTTGGACGCCTCTTGGTGGCCGTTTGGGGGACTCTGAGGGCCTCTTGGGGGTCTCTTGGGGGCCTCTTGGGTGCCTCTTGGGGGCCTCTTGGAGCCTCTTGGGGCCTTCTGAGGGCCTCTTGTGGCGGAAGGCTAGAATTTTCGGTTCGTGTTCCCTCTTTTGGGCCACTTTGGGGGCCGTCTTGGGGTCCTCTTGGGCCGTTTTGGGCGCCTCTTGGGTTGTCTTGGGGCCCTCTTGGGCCGTTTTGGAGCCCTCTGGGAGGCCCCTTGGGCCATCTTGGGGCGGTCTTGGGGACCTCTGGGGCCGTCAGGGAGCGTCGGGGAGCCGAAAAAAACGAGAACGCCCAAATCCTTCACACACCTAACGAGGAAATCAATGTGGGGCCGTCTGGGAGCGTCGGGGAACCGAAAGGGCGAGAACGCCCAAATCCTTCAAAAACCGAGGAAGGGAATCGATGATTTTCGCCTCTCGGGGGCCCCTTCGGAGGAAGCGTGATTTTCGCCTTCTCGGGAATCGATGATTTTCGCCACCGTGCCCAACGGCACGGTGGCGGATGACGCGAAGCGCCTCTGGCGTGCACTGTTGGTTCTGGGGCTTACTTTTGCCTAATGACGGGAAGCGCCTTCTCGGAACGAGAAGGTGATGGGAGCTTGTTAGGCACAGGGTTGTACGGAGCTAATGCAGAGCAAACTCGCGAGGGACAACGGGCTCGGGGTCGCAAAGGTAGACCGCTCGGCGGGTGACGGGAAGCGCCTTCTCGGAGCGACAAGGTGATGGGAGTTTGCTAGAGGAAGCTGAACAGGATCGACATGAGAACTAAGACGCGAGAGACCCCTGACTCGCCGCTGCAAAAGTCTGATCGTTTGGCGGGTGACGGGAAGCGCCCTCTCGGAACGACAAGGGGATGGGAGTTTGTTAGAGTCAGCGTTCTTCACAGCTAATCAAGAGAGACGCGAAGGACAACGGGCTCGCGATCGCAAAAATGACGGGACGCGCCTTCTCGGAACGAGAAGGTGAAGGGAGTTTGTTTGAAGAAGCGCTCATCACAACCAATAAAGAGCAGAGACGCGAGGGACAATGGGCTCGGGGTTGGAAAATAGTTTTCGTTGGCGGATGACGGGAAGCGTCTTCGAGGAACGATAAGCGAGCTGGACGCTGTGGCTGAACCTGTATCTGTAAGAAATTATCGAAGATCCGCGCGCACCGCGAAACATGTGGTGGTGGATCGCACGGGGGTGATCGTCAGTTGATTTCCAAAATGCGCATCTCGCCTGGGACATCCTCACACAATTGAGATGTTCGCAACAGCGTCTGCCACGAAAACAAGCGTTTCGCGTGAAACATCCTCCAGAATAGAAGGTCGAGACATTCGATGTGAACAAGAAGTGAACGGTTCGCGTGAGACATCTTCGAACACGTGTGATGTCGAACGAGGTGTTTTAGGACCTCTTCTGTTAAAGCCTACGTTTTCGCTAGAGACATCCTCAGAACATGAACAGGAGCACGGCAGACTAACACGACCAGAACGGCAGACTAGTCCCCATTTCATTGGGACATCCTCAAGCAACGATGTGTTTTCACATCGTCCCGATATCGTTTTTGAAGTGTTTCAAGATGAAGAAATGACAGCCACCAACGGACCCCAAGATGGCTGCAAGAGCGCCCTGGCGACTGCCGACCATGGGGATTTCGCTAAGGACATCCTCAAGCATATGGCAAATACGATACTCTCGTTTTGAAAAATGCTGGTCTAACATCGCCATACAGGTGTAGGTGTTGCCGGAGCAGTAGTGTGGCTGCATGTCGGTGGTCGTTGGGGTGGTGGTTGGTTCGTTGCGGGTCGTATTGGCGAAGGTGTTGGAGTTGTCGTTTGCGTGTGGGGCGTAGTCGCGTTGTCGTCGTCCTTTGAGTTGGTGTGTATGGGCATGTGCTGGTCATGTATTGTCGGGCTGTGTGCTGCTGTCGGTCACGCACTAGCCAGTCGTAACGCATGGTGTAACCGTCGTTGTGGCATGAGCTGGGCCATTGCGAGACCTCCTGGGTGGTTTGAAAGGTTCGTCGGTGCGAACGTGGTTGACAACTACTGCCATGCCACTGCCGAGTCGGAGTCGTGTGTGTTTCGAGTGTGGGCTTGCTGGTGGAAGGTGCGTGTGGGCATGTACTGCGCTCCTGAGTAGGGGGTGCTTGGAGTGCCCTGTGGGTGGAAGTTCGAACGTCGAGCGTGGGAGTGCGCGTGGGTCTGGCCGTAGCGGAAGATGCGGTAGGCTTTGTGGTTGGTCTTGGTGTCTGAAGAGCTCGTTGTTGTACTTGTCTAGGTACCCCTGCTAGCCTGGCAAGAGTAGGTGGTCGTTTGGCAATTGGTATGTATAGGTGTTTGTGGATTCGTGGCGATGGACGGCATGATGCCATATGCCTTCGTCGTGACCGTCGTTGTCCGTGTCCTTGGCGTCGTGTGCGTAGGCGGTCCAACCGTTAGGGCAGTGCAGGCCGTGTATGAGTTGTGGCGCCAGCGATGTGAGGTAGAATTGCTGCTTGCGCGTCGTGACGTCCAGTGTGCCCCATGGGTCATTGTTGTCTGTGCTGCTGTCGAGGTCGGACGTGTCGTCAATTGGTATGTCTACTGCAGTGTCGATGGCATGGCCCCATGGGTTGTGGGGGGGCAGGTCGGTGCGGTTGCTGCTGTGGTGCTGTCTGTGTCGGGGGTGCATGCTCTTTCGCCTGAGGAGGTGGTGTGGGCTCGTATCTGGCAGTTGGTGGTGGCCTCCCTTGCTTGTGTGCTTTCGTGGGCCTGAAGTCGATGTATGGGATGTGACGTTGCGGCGGTACGGGTCGTACGTGCCCCGTGCATGCTCAACGTGCTCTGTCGCCGTAGTCGTACTGCTCTTGCTCTGCAGCGCGTATGTGTACTAGTTATCCGTGGTCAAAATTGTATAGTGGGTGGTCGTGTTCGATGTTCGTGGGCATGCGGATGCAGTCCTTGGTCGTGAGGTTCTTGGGCGGTCTGAACGTGAAATGCGGGCCGCCCTGGTGCGGCAGCTCAAGCGTGGGCGTAGGGCGTATGTAGTTGGGGTTGCGGTGCTATGTGTGTAGATATTTGCGGGGGTTGAGTTCGGTGTTCGGTGCTGGGGCCAGGTGACCGATCATTTGCGGCCACATAGGGCTGGCAACCGTAGGTGGCATGAGGTCGAAGTGCGTGGGAGGTGGGGGAGGCTGTTGAGGTGGAATATGTGTTGGTTGCTCGCGTATTGGTCCAGTCCATGCGCTCAGCAGCTCACTGGCTTAGTCCGAGGCGTCTTGTAGCTCGACGTCGTATGTGGATGGTGGTCTCAGGTGTCGGTGATTCTTTTTCCAGTATGCATGTGGCCCATGGCGGATGGAGTGTGGATGCACCTGAGGAGTGTAGGACGTCGGCTAGGAGGTTCGGGGGTGAAAGTAACTCTGAGCTTGTGACTGCGGTTTTGTGTGAGTCAGTCATGGAACTGAGGAAGGTAGTCTTGAGATCGGTGGTGAACTTAGTGTGGATACTGTAGTTCTCGCCGGCCTGGAACTCGTACGTTCTCTAGTGTTGTTGGTAGTAGATATTGCAGGGTGTCTCTTTCAAGCTTCTGTCTGAGCCGTCAAGATTAAAGTATAGGTAACGGAGTCTTATCATGTTGCGGTCAATGTCGCTGTTGAGGTCGTCCCAGGACATGTTTATTTGTGGACGACATCAAATATCAGGTTCGGCAACGTAGTTTCAGGCAGTGCTGCGCAGGACAGACAGCGAGAAGGGCAGTTGTCAAGCGTAGAACCGAAAGCGGCCACTGTAGGGATGATCATGATAAGATCGCCTCTCTTGGTATCAAAACCAATGTAAGTCGCATGGGCAAGCCCGACAAAGATAAGACACAACTTGCCCAATATAATTGTGTACCTTCTCGTTTGTAAACAGCGTTGTGCGTGTGTATGTGTGTGTTCTGTCATGTCGATGTCCCATGGGTGTCCTTCTCAAGACCCCCCACCGTATTGTTATTCTGTGGGCCGGCGCGTTTTTTTGTGGGCCGGCGCGTGAGAAGGTCTGTCCGTTGAGCGCGCCCACTCGTGTGTAATGTATGATGGGTCGGAATGGTGTAGCTGCGCACATACTCGTAATTTCCACGAGGGGCTGCAATGATTGCGTGTAAAGTAAAGACTATTTGAGTGACCGATGCCAGTACTGTAAATGTCTGGTGGCAATATCAGGGTACCCTGTTGGCAAGGACATAGTAATAACCGAATGTCCGCTCCTCAGTATCTCACAATCGCGGGTGCAAGTAATATAGAATATGGACACCAGTAATACGAGTAATTGATGTCAGCGCATTTGTTCTATTTTTGTTTGTGTCACCTGGCGAAAGTATTGGCCGTCGTCTGGCCAGTTTGCCTGTACCCGAGGTATGCCCTTGCAGGCTTCCGTGCCGAGTATGAGGCGTGTTTGTACGCATTTGCCGTCGGTCTGCTGTGTGGTCCCGGACGTGCTAGTCGTCGCTGGTCGAATTCTGTACTGCACAGTGCTAGACAGTGCTGCGTAGGACAGACAGCGAGGAGGGCAGTTGTCAAGCGTAGAGCCAACTTCGGTCACGATAGAGATGAGCATGACCTGATCCTCTCTCTTGGCATCACAGCCAATATAAGTCGCATGAGTATGCCGAACATTAATAAGAATACGCAACTTGCCCAATGTAATTGTGTACCGTCTTGTTTGTAAACAGCATTGTGCGTGTGTGCGTCACATGGTCATACGTGTGTGTACTGTCTTGTCGAGTTCACAAGAGTGTCCTTCCCAAGGCCCCCTACCGTATGGTTGCTATGGCATGGGTAGATTCTTTGTGGGCAGGCGCGTGAGAGTGTCTATCCCTTGAGCGCGCCTTCTCGTGTGCAATGTATGAGGGCCTGAGGGTTGTAGCTGTGCGTATGCCCGTAGTTTCCACGAGGGGCTGCAATGACTGCGTGTAGAGTAACGACCATTCGAGTGACCGATGCAAGTGCTGTAAGGATTTGATGTCAATGTCGGAGTACCCTGGCTGCAAAGACATTGTGAGAATCGATTGTCCGTTCCTTAGTGTCTCACAATCGTGGCTGCAAATAATGTGGAAAGACAATACGAGTAACTGATGTCGATGCATAGGTTCTGCTCTGGTTTGCGTCACCTGGCGAGAGTATTGGCCGTAGTCTGGCCAGTTTGCCTGTCCCCGAGGTATGCCCTTGTGGGCTCCCGTGCCGAGTATGAGGCGTGTTTGTACGCATTTGCCGTCGGTCTGCCGTGTGGTGCCGTAAGTTCTTGTCTTTGCTGGTCGTATGCTTTGTTGTGTAGTGCTAGACAGTACTGCGCGGCTGGGTACTGGCCGACGTTGGGCCTGTGCGCCTCTACCGGAGGTATGCCTGTGAGGGCTACCATGCCGGGTATGAGGCGCAATGGCACGCAAATGTGTTGGTTTGTTGAGTAGGGTTTGTCTTGCTTGGCGTCGTGGGTCGTGTGCGGTGTTGCGTAGTGCTAGGCAGTGTGTTGCGTAGGACTGAAGGCGAGGTTGGCAATTACAAGGAATAGAACCAAAATCGGCCACTCGAAGTGGACATGTCCTGATTCGCCTCTTTCTGTACCCAGATCAGATGTAAGCCCCCTGGAAGAAGCCGACCAATGATAAAGACACCCTGTCCAACGTAATTGTGTAGTTCTCTCGTTTGCGTGACATTCCCGCCAAAAGCATGTATTGTTGCATTGTATTATTGTGTACGTGTGTATGTCGTATGGTCGTAAGTGTGTCTTGTGGTCCTATCGAGCCCCCAGTTGTGTCTGTCCTTCCTCCTCCTCCTCCTCCTCTTCCTCCTCCTCCTCCTCCGGCTCCTCCTGCTCCTCCTCATCCTTCTCGATCTTAGAAGCGGGCTCGCACCCAGCAGGAAGCCACCTGCGGTTTCCGTAATACTGGTCTCGGTGAGAGCCTCTCGGTCTCTGCGACCCGCCTCCTCGTGTCCCAAGGGCAGTTCGTGTTCTCGTTCCCTGGGGCTTCGAAGCTCCGTTACCGTGCCGTGGCGACCGGGTCCCGCGAGGCCCGCCGCACTGGCCGGCGGCGGCCTCGCCCGCGCCGATCCGCCGTCGGCCCGAGGTGCGCTCGCTCTGGCACGCGCTGGACTTCGACGACAGCGGCGTGGCGACCCTGGACGAGCCGGGAACCCAGCTGCCACAGCCCGGGGGCCCCCGGGGGGCTCCCCTCCGAGCCCGCTCGCGCCGCAGGGCGGGCGGCCGAGGAAGGGCTCTCGAACTCTGCGGGGGCGCGGCCGCCGAAGAAGCCAGTGGATGCCAGACCGTCGACCACCATCCTCCTCCATCCTCCATCCTCCTCCTCCTCCTCCTCCTCCTCCTCCTCCTCCTCCTCCTCCTCCTCCTCCTCCTCCTCCTCCTCCCCCCCCCCCCCCCTCCCCCTCCCCCTCCCCCTCCTCAGCGCTACGCGTTAGTCGTTGCCCAAACATGCCCCCGGAGGGGTGAGGGCCGCCAGATATCCGACGACGTGATGTTTTCCCAGTCCCGGCCCGTGTTCCTTGATTTCTCGGCTCCCGGGGCCCGTTGCAGGACCCCGGGAGCCTCAAAGATGGGCCCGGGCCCTCCTGGGAAGGGGTCGGGGCGCGTCGGATTGACAAACACCAGATGGGGCCACGCAAGCAAACGGGAGCGTTTTGCGCCGACAACGGCGCGCTAGTTGCCCGCGTAAGGTCGCGCGCAAGCGCCCTCGCTTCCAGCGCAGCGTTTCGCCCTGAGCGTCCCCATGGCGACTGGGGAGGCGAGGATTAGTTACTGAACTGACGGATTTCGGTGTGCCACCGAAATCCATCGGTTCAGCAATCTTCGCCTCCCGAGTCGCCATCGAGACGCCCAAGGGCCAGATCGCTGAACTGAAGGATCTCAGGGGGGCGTATGGATTTCGGTACGCCACCGAAATCCATCAGTTCAGCAATCTTCGCCTCCCGAGTCGCCATCCAGACGCCCAAGGGCCAGATCGCGGAGCGGAAGGATCTCAGGGGGGCGTGCGCGGGAGGGTCGGCTCGGGCGCGGCCGCGCGGGCTCAGAAGTGGGCCTCGCGAGGTGCGGCGATCGGTGATGTGGGCCGCTGCAGTTGGTGCGGTCGGGGGGTTGGTATGTTTGGGGGGGTCCAATGAACGCTGTCGTTGGCTTGGGTGGTATGTTTGGGGGTGGTATGTTTGGGGGTGGAATGTTTGGGGGTGGAATGTTTGGGGGGTATGTTTGGGGGGGTATGTTTGGTACAATCACCCCATCGTCGGCTTCGTGGCTCGCGACGCGTTTCGCAGTGGCCGCCCACGGCCTGGCCACCCCTGCCATCGCAGAGAGCGCTGCAGCGCGAACGACCACCCACTGACCCTCGGAACGCCTGTTTTTTTGTTTGACCCCCCGAACGAACTAAGTAACGCGCTCCATGTGATGAGCTGGGGCGCCGGGAGCAGATGCCCCCCGGGTCTGGGCCGCTCCGCGATCGGTCGGGGAGGGGAGGGCGGCTGAGGGGGAGGGTTCATCAGGAGGGAAAAAAACACACAGGCACAAGTAATCGTCGATTCCCAGAAAATATAGGGAAATATGGGAAGCGGGGGGAAGACAAAAACCCAGACAATATGGGAAACTATGGGAAATAGTTTTATTTGTGTGTATTTATTTGCGTGTCCCAGGGCCCCTTCAGTTGAGTCGGGCACGTCTCTCTACAGGAGGAATATTCAAAAATAGTCAGCAGTAGTCGGGGGACGATTTCCTTATTGTTGTTTGGCTGTTTTTGAATATGTTTGGCTATGTGTATGTTTCGTCAAAAATCTGCCTGTAGGAGGACATGCCCGACCTGAGAGCAGAGGGGAGTGGCAGATGTCAGGAGATGAGGGCAGGGAGGAGGAGGTCTTACGGTCGGGCCGAGGTATACGGTGTACGATCGAGGTCAGTTCGGGGAGGGTATCCTGATGTGTTTCGCTTCTGTTGGATGCTCTTGTGCATCCTGGGGGAGGGCACCCTCTAATTTTCTTCAGTTTAGCCAGGAGAGGGTATCGTGTTCTTGAAGGGTATTATGATGTCCTAGATCTGGCTGCACCGTCGAAGTAGTTTGACAAGTTAGGCTTAACCTCAAGGCGATCAAGCATTATTCTGCGCCTGAGGGACGAGGGGAGGGCGGAGGGGGGAGGTGAACCAGCTAGGTGCGCTCGCGCGCGGTCAAGCCGGCACCCTACCCCTCCCTCTCATCCCTTCCGTGACGCTGAGCTCTTTTCTATCCGCCGGTCGGGGTGTCCCAGCTGACCGTGATCTTCAAACTGACCCCGTCGTGCGGTACGCCATTAGGCAGGGCGGCGTTGCACCTTGGACAGCGTGTCGGGTGAGCAGGAGGGTGAAAGGGAAGAATAGCAGGATGAGAAAGGAGGAGCAGCAGCAGTAGTAGGACGAGTAGGAGGAGCGGAGGACAAGGAGAAGGACGAGGAGGGCAGGAGGGCGACGGCAACGACGAGGACCGAATCTGATCCAGAAGTGTGGCCCGCGCGGAGGCTCTCATCGCTGAGCGACATGGAAGACATGGAGCGATAGTGATTCTCAGCGGCATGCCGATGCCCCCTGGGGCCGATCCCATCTATCCTTTTTTCCGGTTCCTCCCCCTCCTCCGCCTCCTCTCGCCGCCTCTCCCTCCGCCTATACCCCTCCTCCCTCCCCCATCCTTCTCTGCCGGCGTCGGCGACAATGGCCACCGACACCACGGCGGCGAGGTTCGACCCCTACACCGCGCGGCTACTGGCGCTGTTCCTCGCCTGGCAGGAGGCGCGACGCGTCGCCGCTGGCCATCGTCGTCGTCGTCGTCGTCCTCGTCGTCCCCGCCGTTCTCCTCCATCCCTTTTCCTTAAAGATAACTCCTCCCTGTCGCGCACTACCAGTTGCGACTTCCTCACCGTCTAGGATCTTGACGCTGGAAAGATGTGACGGCTTCAAGGGTGCAGGGCGGGTCGTGTTCAAAAGCTAGCTTTCGCTCATTCGCCGCGCATATTCGTTTCAAAAGCTTGCAGCAGCTTCAAGGATGGAGGGCGGTTCCTTTCAAAAGGTTGCTTTCGCTGGAGATCCGCGCACATGTGTTTTAACAGCCAGGAGCGGTTTTCCGGCACATGTCAGGGTTGGCAGGACGCGACACTCGTTTTGATTCGCGGCTGTGAAATCCCAGGAATAGTGTTACGGCGCGGCCCAGGACTGCGCAGCAGTCATATTGATTCGCGGCGTTGAAGCCCCAGGAATGCTCTTCTGGCACGGTTGGCCGTTTTCCAAGGGGGCCTTTCTTGCAACGGAGCTTCGTGTCAAGGGCCTATGGAGAGGGAATGTGGAGGGAGGGTTGGTTATAACATCGTTGGTGCGCCTTGCGTTTACACTGGTCCTGGTCATCATCCTCCACCTCTTTTCCAGCGTTGTCATCCTCTTCCTTCGTCTCCTCCTCTCCCGCGTCCTCCCCTCCTCGTCTGCGTCCTCCCCCTCTTCATCCCCAGTCTTTTCCCTGTGGCACAGACCAGCTCTTCCTCATCCGTCTCCTCCACAGCCTCCTTCTCCTCCTCCTTCTCTCCCTCGTTCCTCTCCGCGACTTCTCGCCGCGACATAGAAGCCGAGCGGGCAGCCCTTAACGGAGCTTGCCGTTCGAAGGGGTCCGCAGGGCCTTCTGTAAATAATCAGATGTTTAACTCGTGGCCGTATTGTGCGAGCGCTGATGATTGAGTTGTCTGAAACTGGACCTGCTTGTCGGGCGCGCGCGCTTGTAAGGCGCAAGCGTACCCCGACGGGGGCGAAGCACCATTGCCGCCTGTTTCGCTTCGCTCAGGGCATCATCATCTTCGCTGCTCTTTTTCCACCTTGGCTCGCGCATGGTCCAGCATGCACATTTGAATGTTTTCCCGTGCGGGTTTCCTGGGGGGCCCGGCACATTCCCAGGGCCGGTGTTTCATGGTGCGTCGTTCTCTTACGGTCCTGGAACCCGCAAAAACATTCCAGAGGCCGAGTGGTTACATCATGCTTGTGCTACCGCCACCGTGCTCGCGAAGCACCTTCCAGAAATGGCTCGCCGTCACCTGCTTGCACCACCTCAGGCAAGGCAGATCCTTTTCCGTAGCGGACGGCATGATTACAAACAGTTGTGTAGACGCATGTACACACGTATAAGGAACATGTACATGCTACACACATTGTTATACATGCACAAGAACTGTGCATATCTGCACGTACATGTACGAATAAACGCGTGCATGTACACAGTACTACAGTTGACGTCGTCCACCCGACATACGTCACACACGTATACGTGCGCACGTACCCTTACAACAACCTACGACTGGACACTTGTATCTACACGCATACGGTTGTAAAACACTTTTGCGCGCATAAGCAGTTGCATATGCGGATGCATATTTGCATGCAGGCGAGCGCGTCGGAAATATGGTAATCACGTGCAGTCAATATACACTTTGTCACAAGCTGACTTACATGTTGACATATTCTGGTTGACCTTGTACTGCCAAACGTGCGTGCATGTATACACACATATGTATATATGTATACATATGTGTGTATGCGTATCCAGCAACCTATATCCACACATATGTGTACATACAGCAGACTTCGTGCACACCTGTTAGCACTTATGTCTGTATAGAAGCATGGTTTTATGTGTATAGTTACATTCTACAGCCAGCGTTAAATTGCACCCGGCCCCGCACATCAGCAAGGGGGGTTACTCGTTCCAGTACCTCCTCAGCCTTCCCCTATCTCCCATCCCATCTTTCCCGTGCAGTCCACTCCGCCTTCCATGGCCCGTTGCACGCGCCAGAAGATTTGGGGCAAGCGGAATTCGTTCGCCATGTTCAAAGAGATGGACACGTCGCGGAACAACAAGATAAGTTTCGACAAGTTTTGCCGCGAGCGAGCCAGGGGGGGTGATCATGTTGGTTTCTGCGGGCGTTGGCAAGGGGGAAGGGCGGATGGCAAAAGAAATCCTTGGAGAGCAGAGATGTGGAGAGCGAATCGACGACCCAGGAACGCCACGATTCGCTAACCCGTCGACGAGCACATGTGATCGCTGCAGATACTCCCGCATTATATTGGCGTCTCTCTTTCTCTTTCTCTCTCTCTCTCTCTCTCTCTCTCTCTCTTTTCAGACACATACTCACAAGTGGCAGTGGTCAGCCCGAGCTCGAGCTTGTCTGGCGTTCGTCTTGGGCCGTTCTTTGGTTGACGACCCCCAGAGGCCGAAAATTACGACAAACTGTTGGCGATGTTTGTCAAGACGTTGCAGGCTTGGGTCCTCCCCTTCAAAAAACCCGCCCCTGGACCCGCCAAAGGGGGCGCTCTGGCCAGGATCTCGAGGCGGATGCCAGCCGCGGCGACGAGGGCGCTTTCGGAGGCCCGCGCGGTCTTCGGACGCGCAGAAGCCTCGAGCCGAGGGGCCTCGAACCTCCGTCCTGTCTGCTGCTCAAGGCTTGTTGGCACAGCTCCTCTTGATGGGAGGGGGCCGGGATCTCATGCCGTCGGGCGCTGCAGTGTTCGTGGCCCGTCTCCGCTCAGAGTCCTTTCTGTGGAAGCTCCAACCTCCTGAGTTGTTAGAGGCGGGCTGGCCCCGCGGACGTCGTTTTTTTCCTGCGCGAGCCGGTCAACGATGTCCGGCCGGCGCCCGCGGCAAATCTGCCGCCGCGCCAGCGAAGGACTCTGGTGCGGCGTCGCTCCGAGCGAGCGTTGCCCAGAAGGCCGTCGACGTACCTGACGCGCCTCGCCCCCGACCTCTCTGAGGAGCTCCGACGGGGAACGTTTTGGCCCCCCGTGTCGCACACTGCTGCGCAAGAAGCTGGCAGCGGCTGGGTCCAAGCAGGTGGCCGAAGGTCCCGAGCCTGGCGCCCCCTCCCTCCTCCCTCTCGGATGCAGCCCCTGGGAGATCGAATTCTGGCTTTGCCCTGGTCCGAAAACCGGCTTTGAATCCCGTTGCATCGGGCTGAATCCCGCTTCTTCTGGCTCAATTAAAACAGGGCTAGGATCGGGATAAATCGCTCCAGAGCGTCCCGGAGCGCTCTCAGAGCGTTCCGGAACGCTCTGGAGCGGCCGCGGCGCCCAATACATCCTCCAAACCCGCCGATTCTCAGAGATTTCGAGTTATCCCGATCCGATTTTGTCCCGATCTTCACGTCGTTTTATCAATCCCGCCTAATCCGCGACCTTATCTGGCGCAGCAGCTCCCGACTGGGGCTTAACCCTCCTTGGCCCTTCCAACGAAGACCTTCCCAGCAGTTGCCTCCTAGCCTATCCCTCCTCCCGTGCGCTGCGCGGGGGGCAGTGCGCAGCTCCCCAAGGTGCCCGACTGAGTCGGGCGCCTCCTCTGGGCGCCTGCGGCAGCGCTGGTCGCCCGAGCCTGCCCGTCAAACAAAAGCCCTCGCTTGGCGCGGGCTGGGCAGGTGCGAGCTGAGGGGCTTCGGCCGCGCTGCCGAGCTCGCGCCGGTGCTGGACGTGGAGGACCGGCGGCCTCCGCTGCGCCCCCCGTCGCCGCGGGCTCCTCGGCGACGACAACGACTGACGGCGACGAAGACAGACGACCACGACGACGACGACAACGGACGGTGATGGCAACAAAGAAGACAGACGACGACGACGACGACGACGACGACGACGACGACGACGACGACGACGACGACGACGGCGACGGCGACGGCGACGGCGACGGCGACGACGACGACGACGACGACGACGACGACGACGACGGCGACGGCGACGACGACGACGACGACGACGACGACGACGGAGACGACGGTAACAGATGGCGACGACAATTTGACGACTGCGCCAGCGCCGACGTCGAATGGCGCACACTGGCGACGACGACGGACGACGGTGGAAACGCCGTTTTGGCAGCGGAGACGGGAAATGACAATAACGACGCCGACGAACGACGATGGCGAACGACGACGACGCTGACGACGGCGACGATCGCCCATGACGTGACAGGAGCGACGACGAAGTCGGGAGGAGACGCGAGAACACAAACGAGCTGGCGAGGCGGAGGAGGAGGAGGAAGACTAGGAGGCAAGAGGGGTCAGAGAAGGGTAGGTCAATGCGAATGCAAGGGAGGGGACGCGGAGGAGGACGGAGGAGGGGACGAGGAGGAGGACGGAGGAGGGGAAGAGAAGATTGGAGGAAGGTGAGGAACATGGGGTGACGAGGGGAGCCGGAGGGATCAGGACGAGAAGGAGGACTGAGGGTTGGCCGAGATCGAGGAGGAGGAGGAGGAGGTAGATGAGGAAGAGCACGAGGAGGAGGAGGAGCAGGAGGAGGAGGAGGAGGAAGGTGCCCGACCACTGCTGTCTCGGCCCAGCTCCTCTGAACTGGGGGGGCAGGCGGAGGGTCGGGGAGGGCAGGCAGGCCGCAGGCGGGACAGTGCTGCTGATGATGGGGGTATCGAGCGGCCTTCGGCCCATCCCGCCACCGTGCCTGGGTCCGTAGACGCGCCAACGGCGATGCGGGTAGCGGCGATGTAGGTTTCGGTGTTGTGGGAACGCGTGGCCTGCGCTTTCCAGCAATTCGCTGTGTTGTTTTCGTTCGATACATTTGCATATTGGAGATGTAGGACAGGGTGGATCGTGATGTCCTATAAGTTGGTTCCCAACATCACCGTTGAACAACATCGCCGTTACCGTGGCCTTGGCGGGTTCTGGATGTGACACGTTTTAAAGCTACGCGCAGAAGGGGGGCAGGGAGAGGGGGGAAGGCTTCTTTGAAGCACCCCTGCTTCTTAGAAGGCGCGGTCTTGTCTGTAGAAGTGGGACAGGCGCCTTCTAAGAAGCAGGCTCCTTCTACTAAGCCTTCCCCCCTCCCCCAGACCCCCTTGTGCTCGCCGCCAAGTATTGGATGTTTGTTGGGGTCTCGTTGGAGGCTTCTCGGAGGCCTCTTGGAGGCAGCTTGGAGGCCTCGGGGGCCGTTGTGGGGCCTCTCGGGGCCTCTTTTGGACCTCTTGGGGCCTCTTGGGGGCCTCGTGGGGCCACTTGGGGGCCTCTTGGGGCCTCCTGGGCGCCTCTTTGGGCTTCCTGGGGGCCTCTGGCGGCACCTGAAATTATCAGTTCGTGATCCCCCCTCTGGGGCCTCTCTTGGGGGGGGGCCCTCTTGGGGGCCTCTTGGGCCGTCTGGGAGCGTCGGAAAGCCGAAAAGGCGAGAAGGCCGAAACCGATTGTCTTGGTGTCTCGGACCGTCTTGGGGCCATCTTAGGCGTCTTGGGACGATCGTTCGGCGACTCGGGGCCCTCGTGGACCGTCTTGAGGGCCTCTTGGGGCCCTCAGAGGCCCGAAAAAGTAACGCGACAAGATGCACGGGGCCCAGGGGAACTGCGACAAGCCCCAGGAGATTTCGGACTCTGGGGCCCGGGCCCTTTGAAGACTCCTCAGGAGTGGGGATTGAGGCTTTGAGGATGAGGCAGAGAACCTGATGACACGCCCACTCCATGCTCAGAGGCATTGAGTTCGGGGTATTTCCTTGGAAGGCAACAACGCAGGGACTTGGTCAGACATGTGAACCTACTTTGCCTCGTCGGGGGATCTTGCCAGTCCTATAAGTGGCAGTCTTTTCCTGTACTCCGACATGGGTTCGACGCTGGTTCGACATGGATTCGAGACGGATTCGACACGGATCCGACACGGATTCGAGACGGATTCTACGTGGATCGTGGCGCGACGGGACAGACAAGGTCCCCCGAACATGCAACATTTGTGAACGCATGTAGGATGCGATGCGTCGGGAGTGTCCCAGTTTTGCTTCGCATCCAGGGATAAGCTAGCAGCAAACTAGAAACAGGAACATGTGCACGCACCAATCTCTGCAAGCGCGGTGACGTGAATATCTACTTTATTACCATATGTGTGCTTCCTCTCCAGATTGGGCCATCAGCTCCGTTGCTACCTCAAGTTTGGGCCATCTGCTGCTTACTTCTAGCGTTTGCCTCTCTTCCCACTTGCACGGCTGCTGCAAGTTGTCTTGCGCTCGTTGGCGTCCACCACTAGGTACGGTTGAATAACGCAAAGCAGACTGAATTTGGAGGCGAGGAGGAGAGGGAGGCAGAGTGTGAGGAGTAGTATGGCAAGGGGGATGGCGACGATGAGGAGCAGAAGGAGTGAAGGGATAACAAGAGGAAGGAACGAAGGGAAAGAGAGGCAGGAAGGTGAAGGGAGGAAGCGGAGGAAGATTATGAGGGCGAGGGATCAATGGAGGAGAACATGAGGCGGAAGATGGAAACTACGGAAAAGTGCGAGATGCAGATGAAAGTGTGAAAGGGGGAAAGATGGAAACATCACCAGCCAGGGGGAGAAAGGATTGGGGGAGGGAGGAAGGAACGTGGAATGGGAAACGGACAACCTGAAAGGAGGAACGCGCAAAAAGGAAGGAGGATAGAAGCGGGAATCTAGGGGGAATGACAAGCTATGAACGCACGTGCCATATCTGACATTCGACCCTTCTCACCCATCTCTTCCCATTGCGCTGATTGTTTCTCTAATCGCCGACGCGTGTCATAGCGGACCTGGAGCTCCGTGAAGGACGAATTATACGCGATCGAAAAAGGGTGGGCCGCGTACATTGGAGGAGGAGGTAGTGGATGAGCAGGAGGGTAAGCAAAAGGAAATGTGGGGGGATGAGACAGGAGGAGGACGAGGACCAACAGCAGCAGCAGGAGATGCAATGGAGGGAGCGGGAGGAGCAGGAACACCAGATGAGGGCGGAGGAGGGGAAGGAAGAGGCGACAACGATGAGAGAAGACTCGGGTCTAGAAAACAGTGCCCCGCGCTGGGGAGAGAGCGCCATTCTGAACGACGGAAGCAACGCGTCCATACTAAAATGAGGCCAACGCTGCAGCGGCAGCACCGTTTTGAGAAACTGAAGACGTTGGGATCTAACAGAAAAATGGTTGGCCGACCGTGGCCCCCCCGACACAGAATCCGATCGAACAGAAACATAGCAAAACCAACGTCTGACATCTGGCGCATCGCAAGAACAACGGCACGCGGAGGGGGACGGGCCTCTTCCGGCCACCTCCCGGGGCAGAGAAGAGAGAAGCATTGCGATGGAGTCATTACCCGAGCAGTGTTTGCATGTAGGGGCTCTTGCTTCTGCTCTCGGGCAGGGGCTGCGTTCAGGGGTTCCTGCTTCTGTTCTCAGGTATGGGCTTGTTCCTGTTTGCATTTGTTAACGGGCGAAGAACGGTATAAAATAAACTTTTTCGCCGTCGGGGACACCTGCCCCAGGGCGGCTGGAAAGTTTATACCCCCACGGTGCCACCGTCGTAAGGGTATAAACTTTCCAGCCGCCCTGGGGCAGGTGTCCCCGACGGCGAAAAAGTTTATTTTATACCGTTCTTCGCCCGTCAAAGTTTGGGGGGTCTTGCTCCTGCTCTTGCCCCAGTGGCGGTCCGGCTGGCCCGTCGCTGCCCGTCGCTGCCGTCGCCGTTCGGCCCCAGTGGCGCTCCGGCCAGCTCGTCGCCGCCCGTCGCCGCCTCCGACGCCGCCGGGGCCCGAGTGGCGGTCTGGCCCGCTCGTCTCCGCCCGTGGCCGCGCTGTTTTGCATCGCCGTGCACTGCGATGCACTTCTTCGCCTTGCGCGGCATTTCCTTGCAGTGCATGGCATTGCTTTGGTCTGCATGCTGTTGCAGTGCGTTGCGGCGCTTTGCACTGCTGCGCATGGCGTCCCACTGCTTCCCAGTGCCTCGCAAGGCTTTGCATCGCATTGCATCGCAGTGGATCGCAGTGCTCTCCATTGCATGAACCTGCTTTGCATTGACTTGCTTTGCGTTGCTTCTCATTGCTTTGCATTGGTTTGCACTGCTCTGCATTGCTTCGCATTCCTTTGCATTGCGTTGCATTGCTTTGCTTCGCATAGCTTGGCATTGCTTTACATTGCTTTGCTTTGGAGTGTTTTGCATTGCTTTGCATTGCTGTGCTTTGAATTGCTTTGTACTGCTCTGCACCGCGCAGGTTGCACCACCTAGGTTGCACCACATTGATTGCACGACCTAGATTGCACCGCATTTGTTGCAAGGAGTAACTGTTTGGGTTCCACGCTGAGTATGATCGTGAAGGGAGACATGAGGAAGATCAGTACGACAAGAGCGAGGACGATCACGAGAAGCTAAGCAGCAGGAGGAGAAATGCGAGTCGGAGGCGAGCCGTCGTCATTGCCAGACTCTCTCTAGGACCGCCCCTAACCTGTCAGAGTCTCCCGGAAGCCCCCACAATCCTACGAAACGAGTCGACCCACTCCCGTCCTCCTCCTCAGTATCCACTTTTGCTGTAAATCTCGACGCTTCGCCTATCCCCCACAGCAAATCCAAACACGATGCCCAGGCGAGTTGCCTTTTTTTTATCAGGAAGTGTAGGAGCAAGCAGTGGATCAAAGAAGGAGGCGATCGTCAAACCGAAGCTCGGGATCAGCCTGAGCAGGCCTAGGAGTCAGGCAGCATGCCTTCACGGATCCTCTCTTTG